GCTCTGTATGACAACGTGCTACACGCTGGCATTGAGGTGTAGTCTAAGCAGAATAGGCTAACTAACCAACTAACCACGAGACCACGTCAGTAGGACAGTGAAAGGCGACCTAGACCAAGTCTCTTTCCAGCCGTCGCATAACGTGGAGTTGGAACTTAACAGAGGAGAGAGAGAGGGAGAGAGAGAGAGAGAGAGAGAGAGACACGCACGTGTCCTACGCGTGTGTGTTTACCAACACGCGCGGCCACGTGCAGCGCGTGTACGGCACGTGTCAGTGTGCACATACGCGTACTGACACTACTGATCGGTGCGGCAGGGAAAAATGGAGTTGTAGCGGCGCGGGAGCTGCCGTTCGCTCGCGCGAATATTTTAATGCCTCGCCGGACGCTGTCGGAAGTGCGGTTTAAAGCGTCGTTAACGTTAAGCGTAAATTATTCCATGGGCATTTCCACGACACGCGGGGGGAGACCTTATGTAGCAGCATAGTTTCATCACGCAAACTCGTCGAAGGTAGCCCTTCGCGATTTAATCAGGTCGGTCGATCGAATCTCGCGCGACCCCTCCCCGGAAATACCTGGCGTGCGTGCTCCACCCTTTCGGTTCTCCAAGATCGACAATTGCGACCGACGCGATGCGATACTTGATTATCATCTTCCACTGAGAGATCTTTATCCTACCGTATACGCAAGTGCGTACGCACGTACGTGGGTTTCCCCGAGAACGGTTATGAGATATTTGAAACTCCATTCAAACCTACGGGTGACGTACCAAGAACAATTTATTACCGGAAATTTCTTCCCCGTTTGTTGCGTAGAACCGCACCTGGTTCCACGTCACTCGAAGGAATATCGTAGACAAAGTCACGTTTTCATACGGAGGTCGCCCGCCGGTGTGAATGACTGACGCCGACGTTCTGGAGGACACATCAGCGTGTAACTTGTAGTTATTTGAAAGTATAAAGAATGCTATGTTGAATTTTGTCATATTTTTTTTTTTCCGCTGCTGCGTAGTAGCCCGTAATATATTATGCCTAACATATTAAAACGTGACGATTTGAGAAAAAAGGAAATTAAAAAATGTAAGTTGATTATTTTAAATGTAATATATTTCTTATCAATTAGATTATAATTTATTATAATTAGCTTCAATGTCACGAAACGATGTGCGAATTCGGAAACAAATAGATAAAATGTTAATTCATGGAATTGTTTGGTATAGGAATTGAAAAAAAGATTCGTCAACTTCCAGACAAATCAGGCTTTTTTTTTTTAAAGAATAATATATTATTATTGTTAATTTTTTTTTGTATATTTCTTTTTCTTAGATCAAAGTGCGAAAAAGGTGTAGGATAATTTTAAGCGACTAAAATTGTTATAATGCGTCCGAACTCTGCCTGATTCCTACGACTGATTCACTCGTGAGATATTTGCGGATCGGAGCTGGTTCTACAGAAGATTTTCACTCTGAACGTAGATGAGAGGATGGGCGGGAAAGAGGTAGGGGCGGACGACTTGTCCGAAAAGGATTTACGATCGGCAAAAACGCGCTCTCGCAGAATTTCGCCATTGCAGCCGGCCGACCAACCGTCCGAGGCGACGAGAGAGTCGGTCGGCGCTTCGGTCCTTTCGATTTCGTTCTCGTTGCGGGATTGTAACTTTGATGCCCGACTCTTGCCGCGAGAAAAGCACAAAGATAAAAATAACAATATTTTCGACGATCTCCTTGGCTGCCAAAAGAAGAAAGTTTCTTGGCGTTCGCGGAGAGAGAAATTAATACAATCGCCGTATAATTTTAATTAAGATACGCAATGATAAGGTGTAATTATGTATTAATTATTAACCAACACGAATTTTTTAATATTAATTTTATGATATTTATAATATTTTAAAGCATGTCTATTTTAAAACTCATGATTATTATATATGCATATTGAAAATATGGAAAAAAGAATAATTGTAAAAGCATAATTTATGTAATTCACTGACATAGAATGAGATTTTTTTTAATATTACGAGATTATCTGATATATGCTGATAATAAGAAATGATGGAAGCGTCAAGTCTACATCTGTTTTCAAGAGGGCCGCAAACTGCATCCTAATTTTCACACATGCACAGTGCACGCTGGTGAATGGCGAATGTTATAGGGTCAATGGCGCGTAGAAACGGCATCGTAGTACCGTAAACAGATTCGTATTCTTAGACAGGATTTTAGGGGTCAGCCACCATACGCTGTTAAGCCATTAACGACGATATAAAATCTACTCGCTAACACGCGCGACGATGTTCCGCAATTTCCGCGCTGTTTATTCAGCGTCGCTGATCGAGTATGGCGAGTGTCTGCTCTATTCTGCGACTGAAAATAGCAATATCTATTAATTCCGCGAACGATTTCATCCATCTGTTTCGTTAGTTTTTTGTAGTTGATAAAATTGACAGCTTGGAATCAAACAACGGTATACTTTGATATGGCAAGTAGATACAGACATTATGAAACTGACACACATTACCAGACATGTATAACTGCTTCTTCGATTTTGAAATAATACGATTTAATCACTTCAGAATCAAGATAATAAAATGTTTTAACAGTATCTATTTAGTATTTATTAAGATTATAATAATAATAATAGAGATACATATATATATATATATATATATATTACAGTCAGACATAAAACTGTTCTTTTCTACTTTGAAATGATATAGAAGACTATTTCTTTTATTTAGAGATAATATAATTTCGCTTCAGTAACAAACTAAATAAAATGTTTTTAAAGTATCATGTATTTATTCATAATATTTATTTACATAGCATATTGATATGGCAGTAGATACAAACATTATATGGTCAGACATAAGACTGTTTCTATTACCTTGAAATATGAAATCTTATTACTCTTTCAATATCAAGATAATAAACTGTTTCTGACAATATTATATCTATTTGATATTTATTTATGTAATATTTTGATATGCAGTAGATATAAATTACAGACATTGCTAGATATGTAAAATTGTCTCTTCTATTTACAATTACAAATAATATGATTTAATCATTTCGATATGAAGATATTTTTAAATGTATTATCTCTCTTTCAAGTAATATATTATTTATACATTATCAAGAATTATGCATAATTTTAAACTTAAACCAAATAAATGTAAAAATTAAAAAATAAATGTTAAATACTTACGTAAAATCCGTTTCAAACAAATTTAACTTTTACGTATTGATATTTGAGAGCGTTTTTGAAACCATGTTTATTTTTTGTATTTTTGTGCGTGCTTCAATTTCTTACGTAACTTTGTTTAAAGTTCATTTTAAAATAAGGATGTTAATAAAGTAAGAATACTGATTACCAAGCACTTACGTCTTGATTTACGATCGAGTTTGCGTCGCGAGTACGTATATTTGAGCGCGTAAGTCGACGTGTAACTGCGAAGAAATCTCAAAGCGAAAGTGAGAACGTCTTCGCCGTCACACATATTCAGTAGCGTTCTAGTGCACAAACTCCTACTTGCGCTGTCAGTGAAAACCGCTGGTGCGATAGCCCGTGGAATGGAACGCAAGGGAAATGAGGAAAATCGGGCACCGATGAAAGTGAGAGGACGCCGGCTACAGGGTGTCTCAGGCGGCTTATTCCGCAGTCGACCGCGAGAGAAAGGAGTTCACCTCTAATGGAGTGGAGCTGGTCCAGTCGGTCCGCGCGATCGATGGAAAACGAAAAAGTCGCAGTGGCGGAGGTTGACCGTTAGCGAAGTTTCGGAATCTTTTCATTGTCCAAGTTTCGAAATACAACTAAAAGACACCACCACGTCGTAACGGTGGGCGGAAGAATCGAAAAGAAAAAGGCATAACGGCGAAAAAGATATTAACGATACATTTTGAAGTTTTCAAAAATTTTTATCATTCGAGCCTCAAAATTTGCATTTGTGGGAAATGCGATATCACGTAAAGAAATGAAAATATTGAAAAATCAAAAAATGTATTGTAATTTGAGTTTTTGTAAGTAAATAACTGACTTGATGATACAGCTTCTTAGTAGAATTCTCGAAAACAAACTTTTACAATACATTTATATAATTTTATTTATCGCGCTAACGGAAAATAAATTTCTCACGTTCACCAGGATTGTTTTCTCGCTACGCCCATGACCTAGACATCAGACCTACTTGCGGATCCTCGAATGCAGAATTGATATGCGCGTTCTACACTGCACGATGACGAACGGATTAAGTCGGAGAGCGACTTTCACGTTTGCTCTCACGCGTGTGATTTTTTTTCCTTTCTTTCATTTTTATTTTTCTTTAACATGCATTGTGCCCTATTATAGCTGGGCGCGCGCGACCGCCTTACGATTTCGTAAGGCGATTGTTCGAATCGTTACGTCAACGACGAACTAATTCCATATAATACAATCCGGCTAGGTCTACGGTGTGGAGTCTAGTGTCGTAAAATCCCACATTTTATACGCCGTAAGTTATTCCAAATGAACATTACTTGCATTACGTCCGAGAGCGCGCTTTCGTCTCGCCGCTTTTCGTCTAACTCGAATTTGATTGGTTGTTATTTATTTGGCGTTACAAATAAATACGGAGAGAAAGAGAAGCAACTGGGCAATTCTCGTAAACCTTTCTCCTGGATAGCAGAGATTAAATAACTGCTGGATGCGAACCCTGAAATTTGTGTTCGCGCTCGCGAAACTTAAAGAGATTTCGAGGAAGGCACGTCGGACGATCTACATGATTACAGTTCTAAATAATGCAGCGAGACGCATAAGTCAGGAATTTGAATTTGCGTGAATTTTTTAGAATGTCGAAAATTACTTAACGAGAATTTTTATAACATCGACGCTATTAAACTCATTAAGATAACCGAGATCAAGCTTAGAAGTTCGAAAGAAGTTGGAATGTGATTAATTGTATACATGTATATGTGTATGTATATGTGAAACATTATATGAACATTATTTAATAATTTATTTTTTCTGGTTACAGATTGATCATTCGTAAGGTTTTTGAGAAGCCAAAAGATTCTTCTGACAAGGAAGGATTCTGGCTAGAATTCGCGAGGGTGCTAAGGATATAAGAAAGGAATAATCACTTTATCGCGCACACAAAAAAGTGAGGGAGAATAATGGCGGGCGAGGACACACAAATTTTGTCGAACGGCAATGTGGAAGTGCTCACAATCATCCCACCGAAAATGACGAATGGGAACGGGCTGATCTGCGGCGACAAGCAGCACAATAACAATGGTTTGATAGCGAATGGGAAGTTACATGGAATCGGCGGTACGGAGAACGGCAATCTGATCGTGCCGGATGAGAGGTCGAGTAGCCTTCACACGGAGTTCGACGATGCCGACGTGTCCTGTGGATGGGGCCCGTGCAGGCCTCACTGGTTGCAGTACTTTGCTACGAAGCAGGCCTTCCTAGTGACCTTCTGCCTTACCTGGGTCAGTACACCAAAGAAATTTTGATCTTTTAAGTGTATATAAATTGATTAAAAATTTATGTATAATAGATAACTGGGAATAGAAGTAAGTGAGTAAAAAGTAAAGTGAGAAGTTAAAAGAGACAATGATAACTGTATCAATTTCAAAAAATAATATTAAAGGATTAATTATGTAATTTTTTTTTGAAAGGGAAGGACAAAGAATAATCCTTCCCTTTTCTCTGATTATTTTAACGAACAATTTTATTAAATAAAATCTACGAATTTATCTTGACAATTTGGCGTAAAATTATTTTTATTTTTATTTTTATTTTTATTTTTATTTTTTTTTTATAGGTGCTTCAGGGTATGTATTACACATACTTCGTCTCCGTCATCACGACAATCGAGAAGCTCTTCCAAATCCAATCAAAGACAACAGGTATTATCATGTCGGCTACGGAGATCGGTCAGATCGGGTCCTCCCTGTTATTGACGTACTATGGCGGCCAAGGTCACCGGCCGAAGTGGATAGCCTGGGGCATGATCCTCTTCGCCGTGAGCTCGTTCACCTGTTCGATACCCCACTTTATCTTCGGCGAACAGCTGATTCGTCGACAGAACGAGATGCTGGTCAGCGGCGTCGGACCCGGCACCGAGAGCCGCGGGCCCAACGACACGGATCCGATACCGGCGAATCTCTGCTGGTTCCAGGAAAGGAACAGCACGTTAGACGGGTGAGTGCTACTGTCATAACTCCTCTTCGAGTTATCCTCTTCTATTTCTAAATTCTTAATGAGTGACGCCTTCCGACGATTCATCATAACGAAGAGAGATATCTTCATTGGCTTTTACCCTCGTGATTAAGTAATAGCTAACTCAACAGTCGTGAATCATCAAAAACACAGGGTATTAGAATCTATTAATCGCAGTGGTAGCAAATGTGAGTATAAGGGAAATCGAATTATTCAGAATTATTCAGTAATTGTTAAATTAATAGGTTAATGAATCAGTTAATTTCATAAAATTATTGGTTCTATTCGTATTAATGAGATAATGTATTAATCCACTGATTATTTTAATTCGATTTAATAGCCGTTAGTGATGATTCGTGTTCATACAATTTATTCTTCGTTTAACAAACTTAAATAACTTGTTTATTTGGTTTACTTGAGAAATCAATACAGAAGCATTTATGGTATAGTTGAAGGAAATTTATGATCGTCGCGTTATTACAATGTCTCGCGAAGAAACAAGGCGGCATGCAAACGATCAGCTGTGTTATCGTTTCGGGCGAGATACAATAATCGTTTGCCGTGATAAATACACAATGTAAGGCGGAATACCGCCGAAGTAATAGGTATGCAGTTTTGCCTCAAACTCGTATTATACAAGAACCGGTTTGTCGCATTTCTGCAGGACGAGTTGCACCAGCGGTTCATAATCCGAAGGCAACTAATGAAAAACGAATTGCGCGTTTTACGTTACCACAAAGACCTTTTAGACAGCTGAACGGTTTCGGATAGAAATAGTCTCTTTATCTTAGTTTAGAAACAGTTCGGAAAATAGCAAGTAGGAAATAGAACGCGTTATAAAAGGAGGACTATGTTAAGACTTTCTTCAGAAGATAAATGTCTCATTAAAAGATCCTACGTTTAGTATATTCTTTTAAATAATTCCAAGAGAAACTTGGCTGAAAAATTCTAAATCAATCAAAAGATAAATTGTTTTTAAATCTTTCCGAAAATAGTTTTTAACAAAAGGATAGAAGTGTACAAATTATACGCGTGTTAATTTTATGTTATATCATGTATGTTATATCAACGTCATAGTGTACGAAAGAAATCGATTTTGATATGAGAAAAAGGAAATGATAATGTGTTTGATTAACGAGAAAGTTTGACAGATAATGTTATTTTCTGATTATAACAATGGACTCCATTCTTCAGGAACCGCTTCTACGTGTATTGTAATTCTGCTGATTTTTATATAATGAGAATGTCCATTGATCAAACACAATGAAATTTCACAGCGGACGAAATACTCTAAACTGATTCACGCAATTTAATGCGATAATAAAATGGGGCAATGTCGATTATTTATTATGAGAATGACAATGTCATTTTTCTTGTTATCGCGTATTGCAGCTGTGCTTATCATTTCTCATGAAGAAAAAGGACCCTATATCCCTTTCATGTGGGTGTTAACTTCCTAATATATTCCCGGAAGTTGATAGAATTTTATTATAAAATAGAAATCGGCAACGAATTTAGATAGCAATAATTGTGACATATTTATGCGTATAAAATAATTTGAATAATTCATGTTTGAATAATGAAATTACAAAAATCATTATTCTGAATTTGTTGCTTCTATATATATGCTGATCGATAAAATTTCATTGTCGATGTCAAATCTTGTAAATGCCATTAACCTTATAATTAAATTTTATTACTTTATTTTGTAATTATAAGTATTAATTTTTCTAACTAGGTAATACATTTACATCACTCTGATGTTCATTAATACGGTATATGTGTGTACCATGATCGAGGATTAAGTAACTTGCGTTAATGACCAGCATATACATCGGATTTATTGCTGTAATTATAAATACCTAATAATTAATTATATATTTTTTTGTCTTGAAGATGGAACGTATCGATGAGCGCATCCCAAATTGAATCGTCGGAATACTGTAAAGGCGATTTTCTTACGGAGCAAAGAAGAATACAAAGCAAGATAACTACGGTGGTGCTTGCAATATTTTTTGTATCGTTACTTGGTGTGGGAATGGGTCAAACAGCGGTATACACTCTCGGTATACCGTATATCGATGACAACGTGGCCAGCAGAGAAAGCCCTTTATATTTCGGTAAATCCTTTCACCGATACGCAAGTTATTGTTACATTCTAATTCTATTCTTTTATATATTAATATAACAGATTGTACATTTTAATTATTTTTTAAAATAATTTAATTATTTACTTTTATTGTTAAAATATTTATGTGAATTAAATTCTAATTGCTAGAAATACAATTTTTTAACATATAAATTATTTGTAATATTATTGTTGTAATACAAATAAAAAGTTTTATTTTTCTGTGTCTGCAAATCACTATCCGATATTCAATTATAGATTTAAGGCTTAAAAAATCATTTGATTATATGCAACAGCGATCACCATCGGAGTACGGATTCTTGGTCCAGCGTTAGGCTTCATTCTCGGTTCCGTGTGCACGATGGTCTATGCGGATTTGTCGAGAAATCCGCAGATTACACCATCGGATCCAAGATGGGTCGGTGCTTGGTGGCTTGGTAAGTCCAAATAAATGATAATATCGAAATTAAAAATAATGATTAGTTCAATTTTAATGATTAAGAATAAAGAAATATTCCGCTTACAATATATATTTTGAGCTTTATAATATTAACAATAACCAACTTATCGAAATTCTTCATAAAACGCTTAATCTTCGATCTTTAATATAAATATGCAAAAAGATTTGGTTCGCTAAAAGTTATTTGATCTTCATCCGTAAAAGTTGTATACTTAGTATTACGTGACAAATCTATCTGCAATTTTTGTCGCTAGAGTGTACTATTAGATAGATATTTATTAATCTCTTATTAATATATTAATCTTGATTTTACATCGAAAAATATGTCGAACGATATAAAAATAATTCCTTGAGCGACAACTGATGGCAAAAGTCAATAACTAGTAATTCACTTTAAGTTTGTATTAAGTAGTAAATTAATGTCTATGTGATTACATTATCCATCTGATATTAATAAAAATCTTAAGTGCCTTAAGTAATTTTATAAAAATATGTATTATAAGATATATTTATTATAACGTATAATTAATAATACAGTAGGAAAGTACACCAATTATCTGGACATTGATTATCCGGATTTTAAAAAATATATTAAAAATGTTCATCCAATGATTAATTTTAACTAATTTTCAAGTGTAGTTCTATCTATTAATATATTTTTGTGGTTATTCCTATTTATTAATATTTCTTAGATCACTAGAAATATTAGATTTATTTCTAAATGTCTTAGATTAAATTGTACATAAATAAAATTAAGATGTTCGAATTTTATGAAAATATTTAGCATATTATTAGTACAGATAGGTACAAATAAAACGCTCAAATCAACAGACCTCAACGCAGAAATTCATATGTGATAATATTTGTATCGTTTGTTTTGTATATTACTTGACACAGTGTGGAAATAAACACAATCCTCGCAACATAAATAATAACAAATCTGTACACTATCATTCTGTAGACTAACTGCGGTAAATTAGATATAGCAAGGTATCAGTACGAAGATCCAATAACATGGATGTAACGACAAAATTAAGGAACGCATACAAGAAAGTACAGATTGTTGCACTTGCTGAAATTAAATCGGAATATGCAATTGCTCGTGAACTGAAGATATCAATAACACAAGTTAGAATTATACTTCACAAGTATAAAATACAGCAACATTTAACTATTATTTTACCAACGTTTGACTCTAGTGAATATGAACTATATTTCAAACTATCAGAACAAATATTTAAAGAACGAAATGTACAGTTATGTATTAAGACTATTGAGATAATCAACAGAAAGAATGCAAAAGATCTTTTCAATATTTTCAAATTTTATAACTTGTAAGTTAAAATATTTAATTATATAATTATAATATATATAATATGATATAACACACACACACACACACACACACACACACACACACATACATATATATATAATAGATACTGTGTATGCTTATTGAAAATTTTGTGCGGATAATTAATAGTGTTCGACAGTTTTATTTGTCTGAATAATTGGTGTGTTTTATTGCGTCTGTAATTTACTATCACGTGACTGTTTATTTTGTTTTAATTTTTATGAGGAATCTTTTTATTAATTTTTTATGTGATGTTTCAGGCTTAGTCCTGATATCAGCTCTGCTGATGATCGTCAGCATCGGGATGTTCGCGTTCCCCCCACGGTTGCCAACAAGTCGATCTCCACCAAGAAGATCGGATTCACAGAAACCCAGCTTGCGAGGTAAGTTCTGATTTATTCTTCAGGAATGTCTCCGATCTCTTTCGTCAAGCTAGTCGCTATTTCGACCGCATGACATCGAATCTCGCGCCAACTTAATCTATCTTTATAGTTCGTCATAAGCTGCTTTCCCGTCTCTCTTTCTCTCATTATCTCTTTCTTTCTTTCTGTTTCACGATTTCCCGTGCGTATGATCTCGAAAAGAGTCCTCGGGAGCGAAAAGGAAAACGGACGTGTTGTCCATTCCGTTGTAATATTAATTTATCCTCGTTGCAATAATATGCAACGTGTAAATTTAATTCGTACCGTATATATGTCGCTCGTGCTTTCTTTCTTTCTATCTATAATTGCAATATATACAAATTCCGGTATTTCAATACTTAATGATGATTTGTACCAGCATTTATAAAATGAATCACTGCGTGTGATAACGTTGCAGCAGCCGCTGTGAGAATACAAATAGTATAAAGGACAGAAAATTACGCATTTGAATTTGCCCGATTAAAATTTGAAATATATTCGCGATCTTATGTAAGAAAATATAATTATTATAGTGTGTACAAATAGCATATGAGATTACAGTATAGAAAAGTGAATTCTGAAGGAATATGAATACTGAAAGTAAAGGAATAATAATAGATTTTCTTTTGATTGCTGATAATATTACTACGTTGATGGCAAGTGTTTTTATTGTACGTTGAAAAGTTCACGACGAAAGGCGAAATTCTGCTTGCCACTTGCCATAGTCCGCGGATCGAAGGCTAACGAGAATGCAAATAGAAGCCGGAGACAATGTGCTCTTCGTAAGTTAATCGGGAGCTCACGAGCGATTTCGCCTACGGCTCGAATAATGCTTTCTCTTATACATATATTTACATTGCTTATCAAGGCAACGATATATCGGTGTGATCTTTGGAACAATTTTTGTCAATTTTTTAAAGTTTATTAATTTAATTTTTTGTCGATTAAATTTTTATTTTATAATAATAATAATTAGAGAGAGAGAGAGAGAGAGAGAGAGAGAGAGAGAGAAGAAATAAATGTATAAGAAATACTAAAAAAAAATGTAATTGCAAACTACAAAAAGATGCGAGCGTCGAGCAATGCATTATACAAAAGTCTCTATATATAACATTTATTTCCAGCATTTTAGAGTTTTTTTTTTGTGTTAATCTACTTCTTCGCTCGGCTTCAGGTTTAGATGTATATTCAATCTGTAACAACCCACGCGTTTAAATCGCCTCCATTATCCAACGACGATCGAGACGCAACAGGATGAATCACTATGCCATATCCGCAGCTGCATCGATATCTCACGCGAAGTCCCAATATTGGTTCCGCCGTCGTCGCACGGCGACGAATAATGCATTCATATGACTCTATCTATGCGCACAAAAGAAGGAACGAAGTGATCAGACGATTTCTGAAGCGGTAAGCCTCCGGCGGTTCAAGGTCAATGGCGGATCTAGGTGCCGAGCGGAGAAAATCGGTATCGCCTCTGCCTATATAATATATGCGGGTCCAATCGGGAAAGTACGGCTCGCGCCGAGATTTACAGGTTTCGACACGCCTGTAAAAAAAAAAAAATATTCGGCGCGCGATTAGGCTCTCTCCGTGGAGAATCGTTTCTCGAGCTCCTCGAGAGTGACTCTCTCGTGAAATTCGGCAACCGTGAATAATCAACTTCATGATTAGATTTCTGCGCTTCTGCCGTTTTTTCCCCTTTTCTCGATGTTTCCAGTTGAACTTGTACTGCCAGAAGTGGCTCTTTGAAGACGATATTTCATGCTTCATTTGCTATCCAATCACCTTGACCCGTTTAATCCTCTGATTTCTCTTAAGCCGCTCAAAATGTATTAATTTAATACATTATTAAAATACGTGTTTAAGTCATTATGTTAATTGCAAATATTAATAGTTAATCTTGGAATAATTATGTCGGATGGGAAGGCCACTTTAAAAATATCTCGACAGAAAAAAAATTGAAAAAGTGATTGTAAAAAGTGTTTTTTTTTTTTAAGGGAATTAATATGAATTTATATTTTTGGTAGAATCGGAATTTTTATTTTGGAAATAGAAATCTGCTGTAATGTTCTCCGTAAAATCTACGTGATATTCACGTACCCTATTGACAAATAATCATGTTTTAAAAATTCCGTACAATTTTTTATAACGCAATAATAAGTGGCCAAGAAAGAGCAGACGCGTAAGAATAATTTTTACAATTCTTATAATTTCAAAAAGATAAAAATGATATATTTTTAGTACGATACGTTTCCCAGACAATTTTCCGCACGATTTGCGAAAACGTTCGTTTTAATTATCGCTTACCGAGTTGCTGCGTAACTAAACGAGAATTTAGCTCGTTCTGATGTCGAAAAAGCCTGAAATCGTCGGATGCTCCTTTAACGGACCCTCGCGCGCGGACGATGCGTTCACGCGTGCGTCGCGTAAACGGCCGCATATGTGCGTGCGTGTACGCGCCGGGGAGCGTATACACTGCCGCAGTCGTAGCCGCTCTTTGCGTGTGTGCGTTAATAATAATGACTGACCGACTCGTGCACGAGGGGGGGCATGGACACGCACGCGCGTACGTTTTGCGCGTGCACACGGACTAACGTGCGTGTGTCTCTCATTTCGGATTCTTTTTTTTTCGTTTCCTTTTCTTCCTCTCCTTTTTTTGCGTTCTGTGTTCTGTGTTCCTCTCGCTCTCTTCCTTTCTCTTTTGCTCATCTCTCTCGGTTGCTCTGTACGAGCGAATTCGCTACGAACCGCATTACAAACACCGTCGCACTCAATTCGGCGGATCGCCTACGTGCGAGCCTTTTTAATGTCTAACTTTTAACCCGTGTCTCTTCTAATGTTTTATTTATTGTCGGACACTCTGTTATTTTCTTGAAAGTGAGTTCCTGCGCCTTCGCATATTTATATACGAATATTTTAGTATCACGTTTTAAACATGTTTTATTTCTGCGTATAATCGTAAAGCCAAGTAAATCAATTTATACAAAGACGCAAAAAAATCGCGACGATCGAAAAAAAATCGAAAAATTATAACTATCATAGCTGTAATGATGTACAGGATAGCGCACAAAACGTCATAACATTTAATTTTCAAGTTTTGGCAATCAATTCTATATTAGTTCTGTCTAATTCTATTTTGTTAAAAATAAATATATATAATTGTATAAAATTATACAAATAATAAGACATTTCATGCGCCATCTTATAATCAGATATGTTGAATTCACAACAATTAGATTGGGAAATACAATTGAACCGTTCTGCAATATCTAAGTTTCACGACAGGACTTACAGATACTCAATAGATACTCGAATCAAATTCAATTGTTGTCCAATTATTGTGCAATCACTACAGTCGAGCGCAATTATAAAATAACACTTATTAAATAGCATTTATTTATACATAATACGCTCTCTTATTGATCTTACCAATTTTCAGTGTCTCTCGCATTAATCACTAACCTAATGACGTTGGTGATTATAAAATTGGTGAAGTAAAACATTTGTCAGTAAGAGGATATATTTTTTAACATACGATAACGATCGGCGTCTCACGTTCGAACCTTTAAAGGGTACTTTGTACGTGCGCGATAATACTCGGAGTGCAATGTTAGTCACGTTTGTCTACTCATGGTCTGTAGGACGTCCCTATGCGGAGTTGCCACGACTGGCCTCTCCTAGCTGGCCTCTCACGGGTGCCTAGAAGAACTTCTAGGCAGTCCTAGGCATGTAGCAGCGTTTGCACGCACAAGGTTACGCATATACTATACACTTTCTACAGTCTCATGCGAAAAAGACGCTCAACTCGTTCAAGTAGATAAATTAAATCCTCGGCAGAGGGAGATCGAAAGCATTTATTTAGCTTCTTTTTGAGCAAATTACAAAGTGATTAATTTAGCTTTTAATCTGCTCTTCGTTTTATGATAATCAGATTTTTTTTAAGCGATGAATCTGTTTCTCCAGCTTTTATTTTTACAAGTGAAACTGAGCAATTGCATAGAGCTTAAAATGTTATGAACTTTTATTCCTAATTCTTAGTAAAAAAAAAAAGATCTTTTTTAATATTTACGATATTTACTTTAATATTAATAATACCTTTAATTTTTCTTTCTTCTTCTGGATAATTTTTAGAGAAACTTTAAGACTATCTTGTGACAGTTATAATTTAAAAATTAATAAATTATTGAAATCATTGTTTTTCTATTTGATATTTTTCAAAATAAGAAAGGAAACAAATTCATCCATCGAAATATTGAACATATACTATATAGTTTCAATAGCATTTAATAGAATTAAATATATTTTATATTAACTTTTTAAAATAATGTTTCTATTTTTAAATGTTGTAGCGTACATAAAAAGATACACGTTTTCAATTTTGAACTTTACAACAATTTAGTAACAAGAGAGAAAGACAATTGTGAACATTTCTCTCATTAGAATCGACTGCAAATTGATTCGAAAGGTGTGTAAATGCGTTTGCCGAATTTGGAGAATAATTTCGTGCATTTCAATCGCGACAATGTCGTTCCCTTAATCGTCTGAAACTAGAATGCTGGCGGTCTATAGTTTCTGAGAGAGCAGGTATATACGTTTCAATGGGTCAATACGTTCGGTCAGCCAAGCGACGTACCTTCGTCTGGCCAAGAGCGTGTGTAAAAGTCCACGCGACGCATCGATCTTCACCGTACATTGATTCCAGCGAAACTGCTAGTAAACGTAGTCGTCGTCATCGTCGTCGTCGTCGTCGTCGTCGCTGTCGTTAATACTGAAATCGCTTAGAATTGTCTGCGAATCGCTCAATGTTTTATAACGCAGAATCGTACACAGACCCTCGTCCCTTTCTTCTTTTCGCGATCTCTTTCTTCATCCCACCTCGACCACCTTCGAACCTTTTCGCATCCTCTCGAGGAAGGACGCGAGAGGAGAGAGAGAGACTCGATTGCTGGCTAATTAGCTCGCCCCTCGTAATCGAGCTCGTAAATATATGGCGGATCGGTAGACCCGGCAACTCTGTCAGATTCGCAGAGGATGAGTATATACGGCTGTTGCACGTATATACGGCTCGAAGGGACAGAGGGATCAGACGAGACCGGGACCAATAAGAGATAACCGTGGCCACGCGTGCATCTCTCGCCTTGCCGCGATGCATCTGCGGAGCCGGATTGCGACTAGGACTATCGCTAAGGGGGCCCTGCGTAACCTTCGCCCATGAAACGTGTAACACCTCGAGTCGATGACCCGTATACCCGTGATACCCGTTGCATATTAATACGATGGTGTGAGATCTCGTTTCTCTCATTTGCCTAAGGAACATAATTAGTAGGACATTTGACGTCAAACTTTCGAAAATTTCGAAAGGACGTGGCATTCAATCAAGCGTTCATTCGTTATGTATATCTGTTATCTGATACTTTGTATATACCGACTGATTTATTGCTATTAGGTTGCTTGATAGATTTATATCTATTTTCCAGTGATTTATAGACGAGGAAGATAAAACGCAATTTACATTTTAATCGATGACAAATATTTCTTCATTACTCAACAATGTCTGGTTGTCATATCACAATTCTCTTTTACTCCACCTGTATCGGAAGTCGATGACAACTTTAATAAACACGCAGGAGTATACAGACTGATCTGATATTTATTCTTGTACCCACACGCGCACGCAGTAAAAAGGCTCTTGAAAAATGACATTCTGATGTTCAGAACTGCAAGTAGTGTGTTACACATCCTGCCGATTGCTGGTCTCTACACCTTCCTGCCAAAATATCTCGAGAGCCAATTTCGCCTACCGGCTCATCATGCAAACATGATCTCAGGTAATTATCGCGAATGAACATGCGAGTGGTACTCGGGGAATCCCGAAACGTATCCCCAATTATATTACTAATGACATGCATACCGTGAGAGATGAATCGTGTCCAGAGTAAAAGCGACGACATCGTTCCCGAAAGATCGGGCGTGCGACGTCGCAAGATTTCGCCGCCGGATGTCCGTCGCGATTACGACGCAAAGTGGATAATTTGACGTAAACGTCAGAATGGTCGTGTCATTTCGCTCACGAAAAAGAATTATTCTCTCACTTCGTTTATCGTGCAGGAAGTTGCAACAAAATTTGTTGGCCAATTAAACTGAATATAATCTAGCATTATTACTAATTCTTCTAAGAGACGATTTAAGAAAACATGTAATTTTCAACGGCATTACGTATTTCTATTTCTTTCTTTTTCCTATTTTTATTTCAACAAATTAGACTTGTAACGAATAAATAATATTAAAACGGTGTAATGAAAGATGCTAGCAGCAGCGATTTTGCTGCGTGTGTAACAATAATGGATAGTTCGACATAAACGGTAGTACGAACTCGCGCGTATCTCGGTATTAATTGTATAGTATCTTATTTTACGTGTATGCGCGTGCTAATTTATGATATTGTCTGCCGAGTAATTGGCGCCGACTGTAGAACAAGGCTGTGCCGTTTCTACATTCTACTATCCGTCATTCTACGCTCGCTCGGGTATTATTCGAATATACAGCGAATAATTTGACAGAACTATCGCTATTGCGTTGTTGCTACTGAACTGATTTCGAATTATTTCGTAGCTGCTCGCAATAGAGATATATTAAACTATTTAAAATACGAGCAAAATATTTTAATTCTGAAATATCATGATAAATCTTTATTTATTAATTTTTTTATATTTGTGCTATTTTTTTTTATTATTGAAAACGTGAATGCTTTATTTTTATGATAAATAAAATGGAATAAACTAAACAAATAAAATTTATTTAACATATTGGATAAAATATTGAATAACGTATATAAAAAATTAATGTACTATGTAATTGTTAAATTCTTTTTACGTAAATATGTATTTTACACACTATTTATTGTAGCCAGATAATTTAGAAAACAGCGTATTTCTACGATTGTGTTGATTTTTATTAATAGAATCTATTTTAATAAAGTGACTATCATCATCCTTGAGTTCTCATGACTAGATTACGACGCAGAGCATGAATTGCCAGGTGAATGGCTCTGAATGATCGTATAATGAGCACGATTTTTTGCGCAGGTGTTGGTGGGATCCTAGTGATGGGATTGGGCATCATAATTAGCGGCGTGTTTATCTTGAGGGCGAAACCCAATGCGAGATTCGTCGCAGCCTGGATCGCCTTCACCGCGGTCGTTTACGCGATCGGCATGGGTGTGCTAATGTTTATTGGTTGTCCGATGGATGACTTCGCTGGACTTGTGTCACATTCGGACGGGTAAGTAATTTCATCCAACAGAATTTAACGAATCGTCGCTCCAATTACATTCAACGCGGATGTCATCGAAAAACGTCATTACATTACGAATACATAAATAAAATTATTGACATATAAACGTATGTATATTAAATGAAGATAATATAATATATTAAATATAATATTTATAATAATATTATATTAGCATAATTGAGTGTCAACGAAATCAATCAAGTTTTCTATTAATTTTATATTCATTATCAAGGATAACAAAATTTAATAAAATTTGTATTTTAATGCGTTTTTGTTTTAAATAGTTTTTCTATTAAAATAGAGAGTACAAAAAAGGCAGAAGAGATTTAAAATAATATACAGCATCCGCGATTAGAATTCAAGAATTTTAAATGTGGACTCTACGGATTCAATGGATCATATGACACGAATCCGTTTTGAATTTTCATATTCCTTTCGATAATATCGTCGCTTGACAATGTTTTCAAAAGTATTCAACTCATGTCAGTAACATCGTTACGAAACTATCGCGATTGCCACTTCGCGTATTCAAACGCGCGACTTGGCGAACGGCGGTCGGTGTTTAAAGAAAGACAACGTGTTCGAATGCGTGTCCGATTAGAATGTGCATCGTAAATACATGTATCGGAAACACACGTAGACCCTCGTCTTCCCTTCTCTACAAGTCAACGATATCTCCTGATTCCCCTAAATACGTATATTTCACTCTTCTGATTTGGACTTCTCGTTTATCTGTCCGGCGCGAAAGTGGGAAAACCTCGACAGTGACTTTCTGTGATCTGGAACACTATATCCCATCGAGCGAAACAATCCATGGCCATTTATTAAACGTGCAAATGCAAATTTTTCTTTTAATAACAAAGATTTAATCGATTTTCATGATTCTTGATTTTTCATAATTGATTCTTGCATAACTGCGAATAGTAACCTAATAGTACCTTTAGCCTCCTTTTTTCACCAGAGATTTTTCTCCAATCTTCTCTCTAAATTTTTTTCTATTTTTATGTTATGTTATAAAAATTATAGAATTTAAGGATCGAGAAAAGAAGATATTTTGACTAAGAAAAAAGAGATATTAACTAATTTGACACATCTTCAAGACATATTAGGTGTTGGAATTAATTCGTAGCGTTTTTTAATGAAAGAATGTTATTTATTTCACATGAGCATTAAAAAATACATTAATGAAAGTACTTCCCATCACTTGTAAAACGCTACGAATTAATTCCAACACCTAATAATTTTTTCTAATATTTAAATTACATTATAAGCCGATATTTTCTTGCTTAAACGAGATATTTCGTCTATGATAATTATTTATTGAGCTGTTCTTCTTTATCTAATTAACTTAATGAAGATTAGCTCTTTTTAATAATTAAGCAAACGCATAAAACGTATTTTAATCATTAATCTATTTTCCTATCAGAACGAGTTGTCTTAAGTAAGCAAAGTAGATAGTTAAATTAAATAAAAATAAGATGTAGTTTACAAAGCGAAGTTGATCTACAAAGTGACCTATTTTCGCAGACTCTCTAGCTTCGAGCCGACCTGTGAGGCAACCTGCGACTGCGATCGGAACAAATTTAGTCCAATCTGCGGTGCCGATGGTAAAACGTATTTCTCTGCATGTCATGCGGGTTGCTCGAATTATACGGTTGCTGACGGCAAAGTGGCATCGGTAAGTGTTAAGCCCAGTAGTAGACCGGCATCCGACAAGACATGCTCTGATGACATGTCTGCTTGAGCGAGATTATATGGGATACGATAGTAATTGAATGGCTCTTGGAAACATCAAGAATTGGAATTGTTGCGAACTCATTCGCAATCTCTCGTTTTTGTTTGCAATGATATTTAAATAGCGTCACGGTTGTCAAAGATAATTTTAAGCGCACTGTCTTATTCAGTATTTCTTGAATCCTTACCAACGAGATTTAATTCTTAGAGCATAAATATCCATTGTAAGCAATTTCGTCTTTTTCGAAGTGAAATATTATTCAGCAGTTATGCTCTCACATTATAGACGCAAGAAATTATTGTCTTTGCTACGAATTATTGTCTTTTCTCTTCTGATGACGTTATTTGATATTTCACAGTTTTACAATTGTCAATGCATCGGAAATGCTACGATATCACCGGAAGTTATAAACACGGCGTCGATCGGTTACTGTGCACTGGAATGCAGTAACTTTTGGGTTTACATGATCCTGTTCTCTGTCTTCGTTTTTATTCACTCCACGAGCGAAGTGGGTTCTATGTTGCTCATTCTACGATGCGTGGATCCCAGAGACAAGGCTATGGCACTCGGCCTGATACAATTCGCCATCGGCTTGTTCGGTAATTATTTGTTGAGAAATTTTTCTCAATAATAAAAATAGAAATCGCGGTGTAAATTTTTATACGAGAATTCACTTGTCCCAAATAAAGGAGAAAATAAATGAATAACATTTTATATAATTTTTGAAAAATAGAAAAGATTAATTATTTATAGAGACAGATTTCATAATTCCATAAAATGTAATTTCACTTGAATTGAAGAAGAGATAAATCAATCATCGAAATAGATTGACGTAGCGAAGGAATTGAAAATTCTTACTTTTTCACTGTTCTAAAAATATCTTTTTAACAGTATCTTTTATTTCTTCGCTTTAGGCAATGTTCCATGTCCTATCGTTTATGGTGCTGTGGTGGACTCCGCTTGTCTCGTATGGGAATACGCTTGCGGTGAGCGAGGCGCCTGTTGGCTTTACGATTCGAACGTCTTTAGAATGTTCTATCACGGTACGTACAACTTAGACATGTGTAAAAAAAAAAAAATCTTACGTTACCGAAAAAAAAAAATGAAAAAAGTAGATTAAGAGATTCCAATATAATTAGAGTATTTACGAAAAAATATCATTGAATTTTAATAAATACTCGCATTTATTTTTTGATAATACAGTAATTAATATTTGATTGATTATAACTTGAAATGCTAATAAAATACAATTAATAAAAAACTAAATAAATTAAGATTACGAGGAAAAACGTATTCTTTAAACAACGGCAAAATTTGTAGTGTTATGCGCTAAATTGAGTATAAACCCAGATTATGTAATATATCGATTGAATGTTTCTTTTGCAGGTACGACAGGCGGTATCCTCATGTTGGCCTTCGTGGTAGATATAGTCGTCTGGTACAAGGCCGGGAGCATAAGCTTCGTGGAGGAGCAGGAGGGCGAGACAGGTACTGCGGAGGAAATGGCGACGTTAAAATCGCAGGACGCTCAAGCAGTCGAGAACGACTATTTGTGAAGGTTTCGTATTACTCTTTTGCGGTGAAGGGCCGCAACGGCGACATTATCATCGTCGTCGTTTAAAGATGCAACGCAGTGTCGTAGGATACGTAGGGGCATCGTCCTTCACAAATGGTGTCAGTACAACTCGTCGCGCTTCCCAGAGACGACTTTCCGAGACGGAAAGATCCACTTGCCGGCGATTACACGCATCCGAATGGAACTTTCCTCGAAAGAGTTCCGTTCTGATGGGCAGGAAGTCTAGTCCCTCTTGTCGGCGGCATCCGAGCATAAAGAAGCAGACTTCGCGTGAATAACAGGAAGACCGAAGTCGAAGGACGATTCGGACAATTTTGATTCGGTGACTCGAAGGATCAAAACTCAGTTACGCGATAAACAGAGAGAAAAATTGAGTTTTGAAGCATGCAGAAGTAATAAACACGTGATAAGAAAGAACGAAGACACGGAAGAAAGAGGGACTCGAGGCGAGCATACTTTGTCTGAGCATCGCAACGTAATATAAGTCTCTCGAGTGCGCCTTGGAAAAGTTAGTATGGTTTCTCTCTCAGGGAAGCTTGTCAGTAAGTACACGCAATAAAAGTAATACTTCCGTGCCTATGAAATGACCGTGTTTGCGGCGAGCACGCGGTCCGCCGCACCAACAGATCCGGGGAATCGAATCGAATCAAAGCAACACCAGCGGCCTCGCGGGTGGCAGTGAATGCGGTTCGCATGGACAGACAGTGAGGGATTGCCTCGTGCTTTGCACCGGCGTTGATTAGTATATGACGGCGTTCCTGCCGTGCTCGCGCGCGCACACGCGTTATCTAACTCTCTAACGGTAACGTTCGTTTACCGTGACGCAAAAGGAAACACAGGGCATTTACGTAGATTGCAAATGTAGGTTTTTTTTTTTTTTTTAATAAAGATTTAAATAAAAATTTTAAAGAAAAAGATTACGATCAAAAATTAGTGTATTGATATTTAATTCGCTTTGTATCTAATATTTTAAAATATATAATATTATATACCATGACTTTGAGTTATAATAAGAGAGTAAAAAAATTTTTTAACTAAAATATGATTGCAAAATTTTATCGTTTGAAAAATTGTAACATTTTTAAAGAACATAATTTCTTAAGTATACTTATGTAATAAAAATTTTTTACATATATAATATTATACATATATAACTATTTAAGCAAATATAATTTCTAGCGAAAAACGCATTTTTACGAAAAAGTATAGAAAAACTACACAGACTGAGACAAGATTTTAGGAATTCTTAGTTTTTCATAGATATTCTAGGTAGTGAGTAGAGTGGTTGTTTGAAAGCAGATAATTTCTTGATTTTTCAAACAAACTATGCTACTTTATGTCCCATTACGAATATTTATGAAAAACTAAGAATTTCTAAGATTTTGTATGTAGCTCAATCTATGTAGCTTTTTGTAAAAAACTTTCCATCAGGGATGGCTACTAACTGTATGAATTTATTACTCTTTTAAAACAGATTTGATTAGCAGTTGATTAATAACTACGATATCGAGATTTTGCTATGATTTACTATATTGTAATAGACTTTTATTAATTATTAAAATATAAATATAAAAACAAAAATGCATTTATGAACATTACCGCAGATTTATGCAGATTTATTACAGTTTTTATGTTGTCAATCAAATTTATTATTGAATTTTTTATATTGTTATTATTATTATCAAATATAAATTAGTTTAGACCTGTTTGACCAATTTGAGCTCCAGAGCCAAAACGTAAAGCCATCCATGCAAATGAATTCAATGCGACTAAGATTTTGGGAATTATAAAGTGTTATAAGCATTACTCAGATATCAACACTTTACACCTTACAATCTTCACATTGAATTTTTTTGCATAGATGGCTTTGCGTTTTAGTTCCGGCTCAAATTGAATAGGCCTAAGTTAGGTGAATATAATATTATATTAAAAAATTTAAACTGTAGATACATTACATATATATATATATTAATTTATTAAATTTTTTAAAAATTATTTTTAGAAATAACAAGAAATAGAAATCTCTTACAAATCTTAAAAAACTTGAATATCTAAAATATAATCGATAAATTGAGATGTTTTTCAATAAATCGAATTTTTCTTGAATTTAAGTTAAAGAGTTGCAGATCTTTTGCAGACATTGCAATCTAAAATTCAAACAAATAAGTATATGATTATAAGTATTGATATGCCTTGTATTTCCTTTTAAAATAATATGTTTTCAAGCGCATTGTGCACTGTGCGTTACATTTCTCAGGCATGATTATTTCCGAAAATACGTAAAAAGTAAAACAGACGGAGGAAAACTGCCGATCATTCCATTCGATCAATCGTTGCGATAGGGAGGCTTCTTCTTCATGGTTGCAATGCATAAAAAGCAGGCAAAGGATCTATAATTACATACATGTAAAAAGTGTATACTTCACATACATAGATTTATAATGTACAGCTTAAATCGTCGATTTTGGTCAGTCGGTCCTCGACCGCTCATAAACGAACGTACACGCTTCGGGTATGCGCTCGCGTGCACCTCTGCTTTAATCCTTGCGTGTATTCTCTCTATTGATGTTCTGAAAAAAATCATCGCGATGACTGATGTGTCAGGTTTTCGCACGGACGCCTCGCGAAGGTAGAAATTATCTGCGAAGCATTACAGAGAAACCAAGCGCCAAGCGAACGATATAGATCTAAACTGCAATGCATAAATTTCAAAAAAGAGAGAAAAATCGACAGAAATCCTGTAATTAAATTTGATTTTTTATTAAATGATAAAAATCGCGATTGAAAGAAATAGCGTATGCCACTTTGTTCTTTGTATAGAATGATTATTAATTAATAATTGTTAATTAACAATTGTTAACTAACTGGAAATATCTCGAAAGAGATACAATCGTTTATTGTCATTATACATTTGCGTATAATTTAGACTTGTTATAAACACGTTTTAGATCTATATTATTCTCCGCGCTTTTCGAATACAAATAATGTGGTTATCTAAGAATTAAAACTATAAAAAGTATAACGTAAGTGTAGCATGTATCGACTGTTAAAATCAGAAATGTAGGATAGTGAGATAATAAGTCATATGATATAATATGCTAAGGATTAACGCAGCAAATGACTACCTCCTAATATACTGTACATCTTGTTATTGTTAAAACAGAGCTCATTATCGATAATTTGGTTGAAGACTTTGCAAGATGATGAATGATTAATTACTGCATCGAAAGATTAATTACAATACTTATCTCGATGCCGACTGTTTTGACAATAATTCACGACGTACGAGCGAAATTCGAGTATGCTCCATAAATTAGTGATATATTTTTATGTAAGAATATCGCATCCCTGAAACATGAAGACGTTCGTTTTGAGCGGCCCAAAACATTCTCGTTCCTTTACACAGTTTATTCTTGATTTGCGCTATTAATAAATTTTTAAATACTGAATACCGAATCTAAATAAAATTTCATAAAGAGAAGAATTTTTTAATTTAAACAATAAACTTTTGGATTTTATTCGAATCCTTTTTTATATCTTTGAATTAGTTTCAAAAAATTTTTAAGACGTTATTCGAATTACATCAATCTTCAATTTTGATAAATTCAAATGAAGAATTGAAGAATAAATTTATTTTATATTGTGTAAAATAATTTTAAAAAATACAATTTTAATTATAAAAATTATGCGTTTCGCGAGTTTTCTCCATGTCCAGATCCATTATCGGAATGCCAACATTTCGTGAATCTTGCAGTCCATTTCATCAGGGTGAGGAGCAGCTTGATACTGAGCTGTTCCTCGGGGTCATTCCTTTTATATTACAATTTTAATTAATTTTAAATATAAATTCAACTTATTTCAAGTTATATTGGATAATTAAATTATTTAATTTTATAATTCTTTAATTATTTCTGGTGGGTAATTTGATAACGCAAATCAAGATGTACACGAACCGCATTTATTTGTTTCGCTTTTAAGAATCGATAGACACACACGTATACATACACAGATACAATTATCATATTTGGAACTCTTCTTGGATCTCGGTTGACCTCTTAGGCACTACCGTCCGTGTGTTACACTTGTGCATAAAGTACTATTATGATAAATATACATAAACGTTATATGTAGAAACTTGTAATAAATATACTATGACTGGCGGAAGTCTCCAGCGGAAAGAAAGAAAAATAGAAGTGGAAGAGGAAAATAAGAGAGGTCGACGAGATCGAAAGCGAAGATACATATGATACATACGATATTTTTAGATAATTTGACGAAAACAAAAGTAAGATAAAAAGAACAAAAGTAAGTTTATTATTATTATTATCATTATCGTTTTATTATGATTATCGCGCTAATGTGCCAGAATGGCACACGCCCAAAATGCGAGTCACACATACAAAAAAAGAAAGAAAAGCAAATGAAGAATTATTAAGAAAATTGTATTTTAATATGATGCACTTTACACACGTGAAACATGCTCATCAATGTCTGATTGTCTATTTGAGTACTTTCTAGGGCATCGCGCATTTTTTTTTAATAACGAAAATAGACGTCTTAATATGTTTTTCGTGTATGTAAGGATTTTCTGCATTTATATATATACGTAGAAGAAAAGATGCATTTAAAATACACATTAGTCAAGCAATGAAATAATTTAAAAGTTATCTAATTTTGACGATTGGGAACATTTTTGGGTAAAGCGAGATTTTTTTCTTTTTTGAGCTATTAATAACATAAAATTAATCATTTCAAATCTCTTGAACAATATTTTAAAGAAAGATGATTATTTTAATATTAAACAACTTTTCCAAATGGACAGGGCTATTAAAATATTGAATACTTCTGATGTTTCGATAATATTGTTTGGATTTTAGATGACTGATGCAGCCTCCAGTTTAAACATAGTAAATCATTTATACATGTGGATTGGCAATTCTATTCTCTTATTTACACAATTGGCTTTCTCTCTCGTCGATGCTATTAACCCTTAAATACAGATATAATTTTATAATTATAATACTGATGTAAACTCGCAGATGTTGAAAATTCTTCTGTTGTTCTTTTTGTCTGAACATGTAAGCTTTTACGTTTATATACCTATGATCCTTTTTGAATCCTTCTTGAATATTTTATCTGAATAATTTGTATTTAAGGGTTACTTCGCTTGAGTGTGCGATTTACCGCGAAAACGAACGGGAAATATATTTTTGGAGATTTTTATGTTTTTGAGGCAGTTATGTGTGCATTTCTCCATTGATCCTCCCGAGAATTGGAGTGTTGATTACGCGATCTAACGTGAGAATGATGAAAATCAACATATAGTATAATGCATAATGTTATTTTAGAAAAGATACTTATTGATCTACATGTACTAATCTCCATTTGCTGTAATCTCGATTATTATGGGACAAAACTATAATAGTTTATTTGAAATTGGATTTTAAGGTGTCTCGAATGCATCTCTTTATCATAAAATCTGCCAATTTCTTCTTTAGAGCGGAGATATGTAATTTTATTTGTCAGCCGGATGAGCAGCGAAACTACTTTACTATAACCAGCGAGGCACGATGAGTATAGTTAATTAAAACAAGCGATTTGAATAATTAATATCATTTTGAAATATTTGCAGCTGGAAGAATATGAGTAGAAGTGAAAATTTGAAATTTTTAAAAGCACCAAAATATTCGTCTTTCTCAAACGTAATATTGTATTCTTAAATTCTGTTTACTTTATATTCTTTTAGCTGCACATTGTCAAATGGTATGGATTAATCCCTATTGATTCCACGGATATATAAATTCGATATATACTGTATGGAATAATCATTCGTGATCGTAGAGGGTCGTATATGAATGACCGCATACGTTGCATTACTTTCGTGCGGTGCTGCTGACCGAGA